ACGGCTGTGGAGAAGAAAGCACTCCAGAGAGTTGTTATTACAGCCCAGAAGATCATTGGCTGCCCTCTCCCATTCCTGAAGGAATTGTATAGTTCTCAATGTTTGAAAAAAGAAAAGAACATTTTGCAGGACTTGTCACATCCTGAACATTCCCTGTTTGAACTGCTGCCTTCGGGCAGAAGATATAGGACAATTAAAGCAAGGACAAATAGATTTAAAAAAAGTTTTTATTCAAGAGCTATTATTGCCTTAAATGCTGTATGAAATTGGAATTTGGGTGACATTGGTGGTTTTAAGTTGTTATGTGAACCTCAAGGGAGTTATGGGACAGTAGTGAGTGGTGTGTGAGTTTATATGAATATTGTTGTAGATCACCGAAATGATTGCATCTTTAATTTCGTTGTACTGTGTACAATGACAATAAAGTATATTCTTCTTCTATTCTTCTTCTTTCCATGGTGTATCTCAACTGTCTAGATTACACAAGCGAGTGATGTGCGCTACAGCAGTGGGTAAGCTAAGCAGGTCTGGGCTTGATTACAGCCTGGATGGTAAATGGGGGGGGGGCAACTTAACCCTTTGGAGACTTCTGAAAAGGAAGGGCAAGCTGGAACAGGCATAATTAAGGCCAGTGCAGTGGGGTCCGAAATATCTTGCAAAACCAGGCAACGGTGGGTGTGCAGAGATTCTGCAGTGGACGCTTGCATTGCGCCTGGGGCTCTGGAGCTAAGACGGAATTTGGGGCAGGTGGGGAGTCATTTTGCATGTGTTGGATTAAGCATTGGTCTCTGGGTGGCGCCATTTGCTAACTGCATAGGCAATAGCAGCACACTGTTGCTGGAATATGAAAGAAATTATGCAAGAGCATTTGTTCACACACACATCCTCCGGCTCAGGTGAGTGGATGGTTAACGCCGTATAAGAAGGGACAGAATAGAGATTTGCTTGGAAGGCCCCTCTCCCCACCATCCATCCTAACCTCTGATGTTTGTAGAGGACTGTCACTAATTTTCAATGACGGGGATAGAGAATGAACTCCACACATGCTCAGCAACATCCTCATTTTGGTTATTATTTTGCACATGTGAATGCTAAGAGAGCCAGTTTGATGTAGTGATTAGGAGTGCGGATTCTAGTCTGGGAGGGCCAGGTTTGATTCCCCACTCCTCCACATGCAGCTGCTGGTGTGACCTTGGGTCAGTTGTGGCTCTCTCGGAGCTGCTTACTCAAGGACAGTTCCTGAAAGAGCTCTCTCAGCCCCTCCTACCTCACAGGGTGTCTGTTGTGGGGAGGGGAAGGGAAAGGAGATTGTAAACTGCTCTGAGACTCCTTCGGGTACTGAAGGGCGGGGTCTAAATCCAATCTCCTCCTCTTCTTCTTCTAAGCCTGAACAGAAAAGGTCTGAGTCTCAATATAGAATGACCCATGAGAGCCAGTCTGGTGTAGTGGTTAAGTGTGAGGACTCTAATCTGGGGAACCAGGTTTAATTCCCCATTCCTCCACTTGCACCTGCTGGATGACCTTGGGCAAGCCATAGTTCTGTCAGAGCTGTTCTTGAAAGAGCAGTTTCTCTCAGAGCTCACTCAGCCCCACCTACCTCACAGGGTGTTTGTTGTGGGGAGGGGAGGGGAGTTTGTAAGCCATTCTGGGACTCCGAGTGAAGGGAGGGGGTATAAATCCAATCTCCTCCTCCTCCTCCTCTTCTTCTTCTAAGCCTGAACAGAAAAGGTCTGAGTCTCAATATAGAATGACCCATGAGAGCCAGTCTGGTGTAGTGGTTAAGTGTGAGGACTCTAATCTGGGGAACCAGGTTTAATTCCCCATTCCTCCACTTGCACCTGCTGGATGACCTTGGGCAAGCCATAGTTCTGTCAGAGCTGTTCTTGAAAGAGCAGTTTCTCTCAGAGCTCACTCAGCCCCACCTACCTCACAGGGTGTTTGTTGTGGGGAGGGGAGGGGAGTTTGTAAGCCATTCTGGGACTCCGAGTGAAGGGAGGGGGTATAAATCCAATCTCTTCTTCCTCTTCCTCTTCCTCTAAATTGATCCTAGGCTCACCATGGTAGCAACAAGGTAGTAACAAACTAACCCACAAGGGGTCAAATATACCAAAATAAATATCTTGCAAGTAATCACTTTATTATACATGCACTTTTTTTTTTTGCACATTTTTCCCAGGCCCTTCTGTTTTAATGGCTGTGTCGCCATTAGAAATGCAACAGGGATTGTTGCTGTATCTCCATACCTGAAAAATAGCCACATCAGTTGAATTCCTGCCTATTGCGTAACAATGAACGCTATCTGCTCATCAGACACATCTAACGCAACAGCGGCTGACCTGAAGCGCTTGAAGAGTCCCAAAGTGGCACTCCCAGAGATAGACTGGGATTCTTAGCTATCAAGGCCTCTAAACACTTGAGAGACAAGTCCCATGAATGTTTAATTCTTGTAAAAAGCTACCCTAAGCTTATTAGCAGCCATCATCACATGCCATGCGGCAAGGCATTATTTTAATGCAAGAATATAAAAAGAGCTTCATATTCGAACCAAAGGTCCAACTAGACCAGCAACCTGTCTCTAACAGTGGTCAGCCAGCTGCATCGGGGAAGCCCATAGGCAGGGCCTGAAGACATCACGCCTCCCCCTCTGTACCCTTTCCTACCCAGCAATTGGCTTTTAGAGATATGCTGCCATTGAACCAAGAGGATCCACCATCTTTGTTGTTCAGTCGCACAGTCGAGTCCGACTCTTCGCGACCCCATGGACCAGATCCCGCCAGGCACTCCTGTCTTCCGCTGTCCTCTGAAGTTGGCTCAACTTCATGTTCGTTGCATCTATTATTTTTTTAATTTTAATAATAATTTATTTAAAGTAGGATACATAAAAGTTCAAAATAATGGCAATCTTAAGCTTATATCAAAGTAGGTAACATCAAAAGTCAGAAAAAGTACAATTAATTGTTTCAAAAATAGAAGAATATACTTTCCACTCTGAAATCAAATAATTAGTACAAAGATCATAAAAATTTTGTTATGTGGGTGATAACTAACTTCCATTGTTTGATAAATATCCAATATATGTACATCTAGCGAATCGGTTTTATTTTTGCTGCCAATGTCAGGAGAGGGTTCACATCCAATTCCTAAATTGCTGCCAAGAGGAGGGTAAGAAATCTTCTGTTGCTAAGAATTCCAATATAGGATCCCATTTTTCCATTACAGGTTTTTCTATGGGTTTTTGGGTTAGTTTATTGAGTTTTTTGGTAACAGAATCCATAAGGAATTGGTCCCACAACTTTTGATACCAGAGTCCCAATGTGGGAGGATTTGGATTTTTCCAACAAGTAGCATTCGCTGTTCGTGCAGCATAAATCATAACATCCAAGGTCTGCTTATGTACATGTTTTTCAATATGAGGCGGCCAATGTTTAAGGAAGAGGTTTTCAGGATCCAGTGGGATTTCAAGGCCTATAATTCTGTGTACCATTTGTTTTATTTCTTCCCAAAAATGTGCTATTTTATCGCATTCCCACCAAGAGTGGGCGAACGTGCCTATCTTGTCACAATTTTTCCAACATTTTGGTGAGATTGTGGCATGCATATGGGAAAGTCGTTGAGGAGTCAAGTACCACCTCGTTAGTATCTTAAAATCTTGTAGCTCTAGTGGAATAGAATTTGGGTAAGGATTTTTGGTCTCCCACAATTCCTTCCAGAAGTTTTGATCAAATTCTTTCTTACAATCTTTTTGCCACAAGCTTTGATAAGGTAGCATCTTTGGGGCATTATTTGTGTTCAGTAGATGGTAAGTAGCTGAGATCAGTCCCTTGTCTGAATGTTCAAACATATGGAAGAAAAATTCTAAATCAGTTCGTGGTTGCCCCTCTTTGATCAATTGTTGTTGTTGTTCAGTCGCACAGTCGAGTCCGACTCTTTGCGACCCCATGGACCAGATCACGCCAGGCCTTCCTGTCTTCTGCCGTCCTCTGAAGTGTGCTCAATTTCATGTTCGTTGCATCTATGACACTGTCTAACCATCTCATCCTTTGCCGTCCCCGTCTTCTTTGACCTTCAGTCTTTCCCAGCATCAGGGTCTTCTCCAGTGAGTGCTCCCTTCTCATTTGGTGGGTAAAGTATTTGTGCTTCAGTTTCATTATCTGGCCTTCCAGGGAACAGTCAGGGTTGATTTCTTTTAGGATCGACTGATTTGTTCTTCTTGCAGTCCAAGGGACTCTCAAGAGTCTTCTCCAGCACCATAGTTCAAAAGAATCTATTCTTCGGCGCTCGGCCTTCCTTATAGTCCAACTCTCGCAGCCATACATGACTACAGGGAATACCATTGCTTTGACCATACGGACTTTTGTTGGCAGGGAGATGTCTCTACTTTTTATCATCCACCATCTACTGATAGATTTATCCTCTATGCTTTCACCCCCATGCCCTTTAAAACACATCGAAGCCAGAGGAAATGAACTGAACACACGAACACACACACACACAAAAGGAAAACAATACTGGATTAGACCAAAGGTCCAGCTAGTCCTGTATCCTGTTTCCAAAACGGGTCAGGGAAACCCACGTCCGGTCTTAAAGCAACAGCCTTCTATCCGCTATTAGCCCATAGCAACTGACCTTCGGAGGTACACTGCCCCTAAACCTGGAGGTTCCGCGTAGCTGTTACAGCTAGCAGATTTAGTTCCCTCCTCCAATTTTCTCCAGTCCCCTTTTAAAGCCACAAAGCCAGCGATGGCCGTCGGCACATCTTGTGATCCTGACTCTCCCAAAGTAATTTCGCGTCGCCGTGTGAAAAATGACTTTCTTGCCAGTTCCCCACGTGCCACTGTCCTGCCATGCCTAGCGGTCCGCGAACGGCACGCCAGGGACCAATGGGCGGGGTAATGGGGTTGGCCCTTTAAGGGGCCGGACATTGGCCAGCCGGCCCCGTCACCCTCCAAGCAAGCAGGTAGAGAGGAGCGGAGCTGCGGCTTCCGCAGTTTGCCCGGGAGGCGGAGAGAGCCGGAGCGCCGCGTGAAAGCGCAGCAGTCGGCGCGTCCCAATCAGCAGCAGCAGCAGTCCGGAGCGGCGCCCGCAGGAGGACTCACCGCCGCGCCAAGGCCTCCCTCGGCTCCTTCCCGGTAGTCGCAGCCCGGCCTGGCGAGACTATGGGGAAGGTGCAGCTTTTCGAGATCCACTTGGGCGACAGCCGCGTCGTCTACAGCCCCGGAGAGCCCTTGAGTGGCGTCGTCACCGTCCGCGTGAGTGGCTCTCTCCAGTACCGCGGTAAGCCGGAGCGAGGAGACCGGACCGCGGCGTGCACCCGTGGGGGGGGGGGGGGGGGGGGGGGCCCCCCCCTCGGCTCTCCCCCTTCCGTCCCCACCTGTCTTCCACACCCCTCTGCTTCAAGCCTCTGGGAAATAGCTGGCGGGAGGCGGGGAGAGGGGTCACACCAGGCGGGCAGCCACGCCCTCCCAAGGCTGGACTCTCCCCGCTCGTTTCGCTAATCGCGTCGGGCAAGAGCCCTTTGCTCGTGCTCAGAGGCGCCGTCGTCTCTGTCGGCTTTAGGGTTAAGGCGGGGAGGCAGAGTCTGTGGACGGAGATGCTTTCCTTTCCGCGGTTGGGTTCGATTTTCTGTGGCTCTGTGAAGGTAGTGGCAGTGCCCTTTGCCTATGCTCAGAGATGTTGTCGTTTTAGACTGGTTCGGGCTTTGGCACTGAGTGTTAGACAGGCTCTTCTCTTCTTTCCCCTGGAAAGCCTCCTGGTCCCTAGCTTGTTGGCAGGATTCCCCCCTCCCCGCCCCACTCCCCATCCCACATACTTATCTGTTCACACAAGCCCTTCCCACGCCTGTGTCTTTCCTGAAAGTGCAGCCTCCCCTATCTTTCTCAAGGCCATGCTGGCGGAGGGTTTCAACTAGGCTCCAGAGGTTATCCCAGCGGATGGGGCCCTCCCCTACCTGTCTGGCTGAGTCTTGAGGTTCCTTCAAGAGCGCCCTCAGCTGGGGGTTTGCACTGGGAAGCTACTTTCAGTACAGAGGCTTTGGCACAGGACCATGGGAAGTAGGAGAAGAGCGCCTCTGAGTTTATGCAGACTGCTTCCAACCTGAAGGACTGTGCCACAGTTTGTACTTCTGGGAATAAGGTGTGGTGCTTGGTGCCCTGAGATGCCTTTTTCTAGGAACTTGTGTGTGACCATGGCAATGGTATATAGTTTGTGGAAGGCAAGATTCTTATTTGGTGTGAGTTCCTTAATGTTTTAACTGTGTTGAAGGTACTGGGGTCTGTGTTTGGGGAGCCTGGGAGTGGATCAACAGGTGGAATTTTATTTATTTGAAACATTTCTGTGCCCCCTTTCCCTTCACCTCAGAGGTCCCATGGTGTCGAAACATTTAAAATGGCATTTTAAATTTAAATATATTAAATAATTATGGTAATTAAGCTAAATTGTACACATACATAAATATAAGGTAAGGTAAGGTAAGGTTCCCTTGCTCGAAAGCCAGTCAAATCCGACTCTAGGGTCGCGGTGCTCATCTCCGTTTCAAAGCCGAAGAGCCAGCGCTGTCCGAAGACGTTTCCGTGGTCATGTGGCTGGCATGACTAAACACCAAGGCGCACGGAACGCTGTTCCCTTCCCACCGAAGTGGTTCCTTTTTATCTACTTGCAATTTCTTGCTTTCGAACTGCTAGGTTGGCAGGAGCTGGAACTAGAGACGGGAGATCACTCCGTCATGCGGCACACTTGGGTCTCGAACCGCTGAACTACCGACCTTCCACAGCCTGCAGTTCAGCGTCTTAACCACTTGAGCCACCACAGCTCCTTACATAAATATAGAGGAAAGCTAATGAGAGATAGTGGGGGAAGGCCAAATAAAACAAAGTCTTCACCCACTGGCAAAAGACAACAACAGAGGGAGACGGATGGATCTCCCTCCCTGGGGAAGGAGTTTGAGAGTTTGGGTGCCACAACTAAGAAGGCCCTTACTTCGTCTGCGACCCATCTAGTCTAGTGTAGCCTGAAGCAGAGCCTCCAAAGAAAACTGGAGTAGTCAGGTGGGTTCTTATGGGGGTAGGTGGTCCTTCAGGTATGTTGGCCCTGACTGCCAAGATAGAATTAAAGAGTCGGATTGGGCTGAAATCTGGAAATCTCCCAGTATGACATCTGAGATCTTTATCATAACTTTTAACTCCTTTACAGTGATAAATATATGGCATTTACCTCCAACTAGAATTCAACGTGTAAAACCCAAATGAAGCCCAAAATGTTGGAAAAAATGTGGGTTAATAGGAGATTATTTAAATTTTTGGTGGCAGTGCCTATTTATAAAAATGTTTTGGCAACAGTTCTTAAAACCTATATACATAATCACGGGGAGTAATTTACCTGAACTGCTGGAGACAGTCCTTCTTTCTCATTGGTGGAATCCTATAGAAAACAAAAAATTAAAATCTCATACCTTCGAGCGATTGCAAGAACACTAATTGCAAAAAAATGGACAGAACAGTCAAGCCCTACATTACAAATGTGGTGGAACAAATGATGGGACCACTTCATAGTAATCAAAATTATGAGTCAATCAATTATGCCTAATTTGCCTAATTACCAAAAAAACTTTTCAAACTCTTTGGTTTTCCTGTAGCCGAACATTTAGCAGGAAAAGACATAATCCCTAAAAATCCATACTATTGAGGTTTGATATTGTTCTGAAAGTTGGACAAAGTTTGAATTATTATATTGTACCACGTGGAATCTGTGTAATTTTTTTTTAGGGAAAAACAAGATGGAATGTCATACACAGGCATAATTGAAGACAATAATAAAAATGTTTAACGGAGAAAAAAGGATTTTTGCCCCAAACCATATAGGGCTCTAAAAGTCAATGCTGTACCCCAAAGAGGGCAGATGGAAAATGGCTTGGAGTGATATGGTCCTATGACCCACTCCAGTCAACATTCTGTCTGCAGTATTCTGTACCAAGTGTAGCTAATGGACAGTCTTCAAGAGCAGTCCCATGTAGAGTGCATTGAAGTAATCTAAGCTAGATGTTACCAAGGCATCCACCACCATGGCAAGATAGGGTTGCCAGCCTCCAGGTGAGGCCTGGGGATCTCCCGCTTTTACAACTGATCTCCAGCTGACAGAGATCAGCTCCCCTGGAGAAAATGGCTGCTTTGAAGGGTGGACTCTACGGCATTGTACCATGCTGAGGCCCCTCCCCACACCCCACCCTCTCCTGGATCTGCCCCCAAAGTCTCCAGGTATTTTCCAACCCAGACCTGGTATCCCTATGGCAAGATCTTTCTGTTCACATGGGCCTGAAAGGCAGTTTACACATTCCATAATGTGTACTTAACTTATGGTGAACATGTAAAGTATATGAAATGGGAACCATAAATGAGGAAACAGTTCTTTGTCTTTTTCGGTATTTGTATGTGTATGTACTGGCCTGGAAGTCATGACTGACTTCTGGTGACCCCAGTTGGGGCTTGGACATTCAGCTAAGTAGCTTGGTATTGCCGGCCTCTGTGTCCTGGCCCTGGAATTCCTTGGAGGTCTCCCATCCATCAGCGAAGTAGCTTGGTATTGCCTGCCTCTGCGTCCTGGTCCTGGAATTCCTTGGAGGTCTCCCATCTAAGTACTTGCTAGGGTCAGCCCTGCTTAGCTGCCAAGATCTGACGAGATCGGGCTTGCCTGGGCTATCCAGGTCAGGGCAATGAGGAAATGCTTGTACACCTAATCAGATACCTCATGCTCTGTCTAGGGAGCCAGGATTAGCAGTGGCTGTCAGTGTCAGACCTGGAATTGCCACTGTATTATATATGAAGAATAATCTGCAGAACACTCTCAGTCTCTGAAATTCTTCACATACATCATCGTAGTCATTCTTGCAACAGCCCTGTAAGGTAGACCAGTATTATTCCCCCTGTTTCAGTGCAGAATGCTGTCTAGCTAGCAAGTTTGCGGCAGAGTTAGGATTTGAACCAGTGACCTGCTGGATTGCAGCTCATTCTCTGAGCCTCTGTGCTGCAACGGCATCCTTCATCTATTTGCATTTGATAGTCAATGTATATGAATAGTCCAGTCCAGAGTGGTGCCATAGGCACAGAGCAGGACTAGGCCTGAGTAGGCCTGGGTTCAAATCCCCCCCCCCGCTGTGAAGCTTACTGGGTGACCTCAGGTCAGTTTTGCTCTTTCAGCCCAACCTACTTTGCAGGGTTACTGTGAAGATAGACTGGAGGAGGGGAGAACTGTGAATACCGCCCAGAATTTAAGCCACGCTTAGGGCCCATTATTACTGAATAATGTGATGGAAGCTGGGCTGAAGCTTGCAGCCTGAACAGAGACGTCTGATGTTACGCTCAGCTAAGGTTTCTGAGCAAATAATCAGTCAACTGTGAAACAGTGAACTAAAACATTCTGTTCCGAAACCAGCTCCCTGGCATTTCTGAGAAACCTCACTTCTTTCAGTCTCAGCCACAACTTCTTGCTGGGATCTCAGACTGTGTTTGACGGGGGTACGTTTTGTATCGGCTAAGACTAGGGTTGCCAACCTCCAGGTGGTGGCTGGAGATCTCCTGGGGCTACAACTGATCCCCAGGTAACAGAGTTCAGTTCACCTGGAGAAAACGGTTGCTTTGGAAGAGGGACTGTGTGGGATTCTACCCTGCTGAGGTCCCTCCCCAAACTAGCCTCCACCCCCAACATCTCCAGGTATTTCCCAAACCAGAGCTGGCACCCCTAGTTAAAACTGATGTGGCCATTGATTTGGGGGGGAAGGAAGTGAGGGGAGGCTGAGAGAAGTTGTGGTCAGATGCCCCCCCCCCATTTTCTAGCTACGAGAGTGTTTTAGGCCCTTGACGTTGGAGCCGCTTCCAAAGAAAGATGTCAGCAGGCAAAGGCTGGTGGGTAAAGTTTATACAAAAATGTGTACAAAAAATCTACCTTTATAAATGCACAAGGCAATTGAAAATGGTGTGACGATGGTCTCCAGAATGTTCTATCGTTTCGATACTGTTCTTCTTCCGAAAGTGGATGAAAGCATACAGCGACTCTTGGTCTGTCATTTCAACAAGTAGGTATCAAAAATTTCATTAATATTCACCGATGCATCATAACTTAGTTGCAAGAAATTCTCTGGTCTGTGACTGTGACCATCATTTTTGAGCCACTGGTGGGTAAAGTTGCCAGCTTCGGCTTGGGAAATACCTGGAGATTTTTGAGGGTGGAGCCGGAGGGGGGTGGGGTTTGCGGCTTCAGTGGGGTACAGTGCCGTAGAGTCCACT